GTTTTGCTGCATTTTCTTTTGTCGTCTTTGGTATCGAGGAAGATGACTGACCCAATGGCCATGACAGCTAGGCTTGCAAATATTGATATGCTCCCTCCTAGCCAAGGCCGTCCACAAAGTCCAGATCGTGACGCCCAAGCCGCCCAGCACCATCCTCGTGCTGCTCAAGAACGCCATCACTTCCGAGCTCAAGGCGCGCGGCGTCACGGCCGTCGAACAAGTCGCGGCTCAGAGAAGGGACTGCCTGGACAGGATCATGCTCTCGCGCGTGTTCGACATGGATGGATTCGGCGAGGTGCTGGCTGATTTGGAGAATGCGGCGGCGGCGGCGGCTGAGGCTGCCTCTGGGAACGGGGGGCTTGCTGAGGCGCGGGAGGTTGGGGAGACGAAGACGACGGGGGACGAGGCACAGACTCATGATTATGGTGCTGGGGCTGGGGCTGCAACAAGTGTAGAGCATGAGCCTGAGCGGCCTCCCCTTATCGTTGCCGAGATCCAGGATAGTCAAGACGAGGACGAACCGCTCTCTCCCCTACCGACGACACCGCCTCAACCTGACATCCAAGAGAGACACCAGAAAGACCCAGATCACGCCGATGACAACCCCAAAAACGACACACCCAGCATCATCAACAACAACAACAACTCTGCGGCCGCCGCCGCCGCCGCGAACAATCACAATCCGAAAGCGACAACAGCAACCCCCGACATCATCCTCGTCACCCACTTCTCCTCCCTCCTCACCAGCTTCTTCACCCAGCGCGACAAGCCGACCGCCCACGCCACCCTCCGCCTCCTCTCCGCCCGCCTCCGGCGTCTCTCCAGGACGCTGCCCTCGCATCCCCTCGTCCTGCTCGTCAACTCCACTGACTCTGGCGCGGCGGCCCATTCCTCTGCCTCACACGGCTACGAGAACCCCCCGCCGCCGCCGCCGTCGGAGCAACAACAACCTCCCACGTATCATAACAACAAATTCCCACCAGTGGCCCCGTCTCTCCGCTCGATATTCAACCCAGCCGCGGCGTCATCTGGGCCATCATCGACGACGACGACGCTTCAGTCGCCCCCGTCTGGTCACCGACAAGCCTTCGTCAAGCCGAACAAGCCGACCTTTGGCCTCGTCTTCACGCAGCTGCTCGACCTCCATCTTCTCTGCACGCGGGCTCCCCGTCCCAGCAAGAACACGACGGTGACAGCTACGCCGAGCGTTGCCTTGACGGTCGTGGAGGTGTTGCTGGATGACATTGGTCTGTGGGAAGGCGAAAGGGGCCGTAGGAGGAGGAGGGAGCAGCGTTGGACCGTCGTGGCGGCTTCTTCACACGGCCGGATTGTCGATGCTTTTCTTTCGGACGGGGAGAGAGAGGACTTGGAGAGAGCGGAGTGAGGACGAGTTGAACATCGCTGCTTCTGCGTAGCCACTTATATTTCCATCCCCGTCTGTCGACTTGTCACCCACCCTCTCCCCCCCTTTTTACTACGAGCATAGCAAGGCTCAAACGAGCTCAGTCCACGTCTGTCATTCAACATCACCTACCACCTAATCACACATCTCCATACAGACGACTCTTTAACAAAAAGTGTTCTCCAACGCTGCAGGCTCCCACATCTACTACATCTACTACAAGATATACACATGAATCAATCAGTCAATCAATCAATCAATCTACCTTCAATTATAAAAGCCTCTGCTTCCAAAAACATACCGGGCGCTACAATCCCCAACGTTACCCCCAATAGCCAGATGGAAAGATTTGGCCCCTGGTCCGTACAAGGCTTCCCCTTCTTCCACCTCAGCTTCCTCTCTCCCTACTAGAAGAACCACGAGTAAGCCGGTTCATTCACTGTCTGACATCTCTCGACTAACCGCACACGAAAACAGCACAAAAAGGGGGAAACCAAAAAAACAACCGTCAGGAGGAGATTAGAAGAGTACTAACGCAGAACAACCCAAGACAAGCCCGCTGCGAAACGCTTCCATGGCGATGATTTGCAGGGGCGTGCTTCTTGCTCTCTTCTGCGCCTATGTAAAGCGGTAAAGCCTTCCCTGTTCCCAGCCCGACTCAAGACTCGCAGTGTTTTATACGGTGTATGTAATCGGGAGGGAAAGAACAAAGAGAAATAAGTGTTCAACAAACAACTGTTTCGCTCAGACATCTTGCTCTCAGCAATGAGGCTCCACATCTTTGCGCTGCCATGGGATACAAGAAGGATTTCCTGGAAATTAAGAGTTTTAATATGTCGTGGAACAAGGGCTACCACTATCGCGGGTGTGCGGGTTGTTGTGCTGGCGGCAGGCCAAAGACGTCTGACCGTCTGTTGCTCTGCCAGAAATCGATGGATTCCACCACATCCTCTCCCCG